GCTGGCATATAATCAGTCCCGCAGTAGCATTTAATCTTACATATTTGTCCATCGATTACTTTGCTGAGTCTTAGTATTTTTCTTCAGGTATAACACTTTTTTGAATCCTTTTAACTTGTTACATTAGTTTATTGATGAGCTAGATCTGGGATTTTGGAAACTGTAAACAAAAAATAATCTTTTCTGAATTTTGTAGCTCCAGACATATTAAGAAAGTCCTATTTAATCTTTTCTCAGGTCTTGTTACAGATTGGCATTAGACTACCATAAGATTGCGTATGACAAAATATCTTGTTTCCTTTCTTCAGCAAGTTTGCAAGCTGTAAAGTTGTAACATTAGCACATGGAGCTCTGGCTCTATTAGAGACAGCTAAAACTGGAATAGAAACTAGATCACAATTTCCATACTTAATAAGGCAGTAAGTCAGATGTTGGCATAGGACAGAACTGGTTGAATTGTCATAACCATTCCATAGGCATAAATCTTAGACTTGCAGCAGATGCTTCACGCGGTTCCTGCTGTGCAAAACAGCTGGAAATTCAGCTTAAAGCATTTCTTTGCTAGAGAGAAACTACAGGTAGCAGGGAGTTGAGATAGCAAGAATATGATGGGAAGATACACTCCAGTCCTACATACTGGCTCCAGCGTCACTGCTGTGGCTTCAGGATGCATGTCCGATCCTAGGATTTGTACTGTGATCAGTAAAACCTGCAGTCCAAGGCACAGGAAACAATCTTTCAAATTTATTTGAAACTGGTTGTTTTCCTTTTTATGAATGTGTTTTGTCACAGTAACTTTTGCGTTTGTGTCTTTTTCAGTTTCCATGGACATTTTTCTTTGCCCTGGAGATTTAATTTTGGGGTAATATTTTGCCTCATAGTAGAATCAGGACTCTTTACCCCTTTTTAACTAGATCTGAGAAATACAGTAATGTCAAATGCAGGTGAAGCTTCTTGTTCTGTATTAGGTTGGGATGGTTTAATCTGAAAACCAGCAATTATCTGCTGGATTCCCATCAAATTGATGAATTAGGTCTTAATGGAAATGGACCTTTGCAGGATAATCTTCCTGAAGAAGGAACAGATATGGTTAAAACATGTTGGAAAACACTTGCAAGGAGTCCCCTGTGAGGAGAATTGTTCCTAAGCTAAGGCTGTGGATCTATGTGTTAATATTACTTCAAGCAATAAGAAGTTTACATTAAAAACTCATAAGCAGTGAAACATGACAGTTCTCACTAATTTCTCATATGGTGCTTTACTGTTTGTTAAACAACAAAAATTTTATTAGGCCATTTCTAGTACGAAGCTTTTTCTGAGCTAAAGGGTTGAGAAATGTGTACCATAGGATGCCTTTTGCAGAGGACCTAAGCCGAATAAAACAGAAATAACACCATAACTGAGTCTTTGTTTATGGCCAAGAGTTTAACGATGTTCACGTAGCTAGAGGGAAGTAAGTGAATGAGCAAGGACGATGGTTGGCTGGTTAGAATGTGTTTATAGGAATGGAAATAAATTATAGTGCTATAAGCTGTATTTATAGCAACGTAACTGCAATAGAGTTGTACAGAGGAACAGCATTGCCAGAAGAAAAAAATCACATCCCTCACTGGAATAATCATGTTGTGTGTGGGGGCCAGGCCTAAATTAATTCCAGTTGCATTTCTGAGTACATAAACAAGAAAGCTGCTTCAGTAAAGGCTTTCTTTGGCTCTGATGTGATTTAACACTGAGAGGCATTAAACGTCTATATGTTCGCTGAAGTTAGCTCTGTTTAAGGTGCTTTAAGCCATCACAGGCCTGTGTTTCTGTCTTGGCTTTGAATCTTATTGAAGTCAGTGGGAAAATATGTGAGTGGCTGCAGGATAGGAGCCTCTTAAGAGACCTTTGTTAGCCTGGTGTATCTTACCTTCCGACAAATCAGGTGCACAGTTGGTAGGAAGCTGTTTATCCTGAGTGCAGAAAAGTGCACCCAAGTGTGATCCTATGGGACAGTCACAAAACCAAATTTTGTGCTTTTTGCTCCCATAACCTACACATAACTAACATAAGATGACAAGCCCAAGCAAAGCATCATCACCTTTTTCTGGGAGCTCAAACAAGCCATTTATTCTCTTCGATAAACTGGAATGGGCAATCTAAAAGGCTGTCCCCACAAGAGCTTTCTTTGGCATAAATACTTCACTAATACTTCTCAGAGCACACTGGTCTGGGGACATATAAGAGATGACAGCACAGAGATCGCAACATGTGCTGAAGATGTGAATTTAGATTAAGGCTATTAGTTGTGGGGTTTTTTCAGCATTTTGGTTTTTAATCTTCAGTTCACATCACCTTTGAACACTTCCCTCTGAAGTGGCAGCTCAGGCTCATCAGATTCCATTGCTGTTTCCGGCATACTACCATTTAATTTTGTCTCAGCAGATAGATTTTCTGTTAAAGTTTTTCAGATGGAGGTTTGATCAGATTTTGGTGGTAATTTTTTTTCTGTAAGGAGACTTTTTATTACTGGAATCAAAGAATAATCTCACTTTATGTGTTTTTTACATTCCTTTCTCCTCTGTGAGAATATTGATTTTAGAAGTGAGACCACTGCTGTATTCAGTGGGCTCAAGATCGAATCCTGAATTTGCCAATGGTCATTCTCAGATCTGATCTGAGACTATTTTTGGCATGCATCTTCGTGAACCTTTTCATTTTAATTCCATCTCACAAAACATACAGTATATTTTTTCTTAGTAGTTTCCATTTAACATCGCCACAGATGCCAGCTGCTGCTGCAACAGACAACACATGATGAAGAAGAAGGAAGAGAGACACACTTCCATAGGGTTTCTGCAAGTATATGCATAATTATGTGGTTGGAGGACCTGTGCAGACTACCTGGTCCACGTGTCACTCAAAGCAGAAGCTTGAAGTCCAGTTTTAAAGTTTGATGAGGTTGCTGAGGGCCTCACCCAGCTGAATTTTTAATATCTGCACTGATGGAAATTCTGTAACTTCTTCAGCCCCTGTTCCTGTTCTCAGCATGGGGAACTTTTTTATACATATGTGGAATTTCCCTTCTTTCTTGTGGTTTTTTAATTGGATTGAGATGTTCTTTAAATTAGAATATGGAGTGAGTTCTAGAAAGATTTTTTTTTCATGGAATAAAAGTTGATACTTGAAGATAATCCTCTATAGCAGTTGTCAAGCAAACCCATATGCATCAGTTTTGCAGGCAGCTAGGAGGTGTGCAAGCAGTCGGTGTACAGAGTAAGGCTAAAGTACCTCTTTTGATAGTAGAAGGAAGAAGTTATGGTTACAAACACAACATCTAGATGATGGGTTTTGGCAAGAACCAGTTAGTTACTTCTTGGAGGTTTTTTTGGTAGGGTTGGGGGGCTTTTTTGCACCACATATGACTGCACTGAGATAATAACTTTTCGTTATATTGGAATATTTGCCTATTTAAAATAGTGATATTTTATGCCATGACAGATTAATCAGATTTAAATACCCAAATCTTTATGGAAAATGCTCCGAGATGTGGGGATACAGATGCTGCCTATTCCACATATCTGAAAAATAATTGAAAGAGAAAAATCACAAAATGTTGAATATACACAGTGGTGGGATTTAACTCTGGCTTGAGTGAGGTTGTCAAGAGTTATGGTTAAAACTGTTGTCTGATGTAATAGACACACTGTCTGCTTCAATCTATGAGAACACTTGCAGCTGTTGAAGAAACAGACATCTTTGCCTCTTAGTCAAAAAATACATAAAATGAATAGACGGTGTGCAAAAGCAGGTGACAGAGCTGTGCGGTAATTGAGTTACGGAAGAAAGTGTGAGGACCTACTTTTTCATATTGATCACCTACTGTCACTGGATTGTGAAAGTGGATCGCATTTAATGGAAGTCGTTGAGAAAGGAGAAGAAAAAAACATACCTGTTTTTTTTTTTTTTTGTAGTCTAGTGGAAGCTGTATTCATGCAATTTAGAAAGATCCATTGAATCAATTTTCAGAGATGTACAGTACATACCAAAATGTATTAAGGGCTATGCCATCCTGCCTTTGTCTGCCTGCTTAACTCACTACAGATGTGAACAGATGCCATATATTATTTAAATGTGTAAATTGATACTTACAATTTATAGGATTTAGAAGTGGAAAGAACATGAATTATACAACGGGAAGCTTTCAGAGTGCTGCACAGTTTTCAGTGCTAAATGAAGATGCATAGTAACGTTAAAAACACATCAAAAGGAGTTGGTAGGTAGTTAGATAACAGCTGACTATTGCGCCTCTTCCTAACTCTAGGCAGTGAAGGTCTCACTGGATGGTAGGTAAAGCAAATGTGGGCTGAGCTGGAGGATCAGTGTGGTGTGTTTGTATGACTGTTTTCTGATGAAACAGGTTTGGGTAATCCGTGTACTGAAGCTACCCTCTAGTGTGACCATGGCTCTTTCAAATATGATTTGAACTGACCTTGACAAAGAGGTTCAAATATCAAATAAAATTGCCACAATAAATATATGGGTTTGTTGACAGGAAGGAGGCCAAATCATCCAGAGCCTTTTCTAAGACTGGTGAGACTAACGTATAAGTGCTCTAGCCAGCACAAAAGGTTTCCTACCAGAAACCCGATGCAGAAAAACTGGGCTTTTCTAGCTCCGGTGTTAAAAGAGTAACGTTGGTTTTTTTTTAACCATAAGTACAGGTGTTTTGAAATCTTACTGTAAAGTGAATATAGTGCAGTCTTGATATTTTTTAAGAAGGTTGAAATCAGAATGTGCCAATTTAGTAAAGTGAGCTTTCAAAATAGGCATGACGCGGAGCCTATTTTTTTGCTGAGCACTTCAAAAGCCATCAAAATAGCTGTACCTTCTGTCCTGAAAACTGTCAGGAACCTATAAATAAATATAAAATAATACAGGATCAGGAAAAAAAATGTGACGCCAGCAGTTAATGCTGTTGTTATTAATCGTTTTGTTTGTTGATTTTTTTCTTTTCACAGTGTATCCTATTCAGTGCATGTCTCTGAGGATTACCCAGGTACAGTGCAACATTCTTGTCCATGATACATGTATGCATGTTACCTCAATTTGCTATATTCAGCTAAGAATACCTGAAAGGGTGTTGATGACTTCCAGGTGCATCCTTGTGCTAATCATTTTTCATTAGTTGGATTATTTTCACAGTCATTTCTCCTTTTCAGGCGTCATTTATCAGCTGGGTTGGGGTGAGAAAACATGGTTACAAGTTTACAAAGGCTGGAGCTTGTGATGCTTTCCCTGTCTGCAACCAACAGTGATAGGAGTGAGAAAGCACTCAACTCCTCTTTGGCATGCTAGATAACACTTGATATTTCAAGAGGCTGAGTTGTCTGGAGCAAGGCCAGCAAAGCACTTCTGAGTTTGACCTTAATGAGACTACTCACGTTCTTCAGATTAAGCCTGCAGACTGTTCTCAGGGTCAGTTGGAGCCAAGGGTTTGTGTATGGATGTGTCTTTGGTAAGCTTGCAAACCTGTTCTCAACTGCTCAGTCCTCTCTCCTTTTCATACTCTGAGCTGAGTTTAAAATCATTTGTGTGGCCAATCTAGACAAAAGGAGAATTCATGAAAGACAGCCAGGCAAGAGCAAAACCTAGTTTTTCAGCTATCTTATTTACCTTCACAAAAAGACTGTATACATATTTCAGTTGGCACAGAGGCTAGCAGAAGCAGGAGAGGGAAGTGGGGATGACGGCAGACAGGCACTGTGTAAGTAAAGGTATGTGGTAGTACTGTTGGATTGAACTACATTGTGTATTTTGTGCCTGGGATTATTTAATAGTGTAAATCACATGAATGATAGGAAGCCCTCTGGCCTTTATCTTTATCCATAATATCTCTGTAATATCTCTACATGAATTATTTTTTGTTTCTTTTAGAATCTCTACAGAAAGGAGACTATGTTTGAAACACCAGAGTGCTTGAAGCGGATAGAGAAATAAGCATCAGCAGTGATGCTAAGTGCAATGGTTTATATGAAAGAATGCTAACATTCTTTATGAGAGATATTTTATTTACCAGTAAAAACTGGAAGGAAAACTGCTGCTGCTACTAATCTATTTAATATGTAGTAAGGGGAGAAACTGAGATTCATAAAATACACACTCATACCTGCAATAAGTTTATTTACTGATAACTCCATTGACCTGGCAATGAACAGAGGGACAAATAGTTGAAAGAAATTCTTCATCATACTTATTAACAGCTTGTTTTATTATAGATCACAAAACTTCATCTCTGTGCACCACTAACTAAATAGCAAGCTGGAGCACTGAACAAGCAGTTAGTCCCAAAGCACATGAGATCTCATCTCCTGCCAAACTGTTCTGTTTGACAGATCAGAAACTTCTCTTACAAATGTTGATTGCAGCATGAGTGGCTCTAAACCCTAATGAATATTCTCTGTGATCACCCCTGTATTTGAAAGCCAGATAGAATTTTACACTGTAGCTAAAGTGGAGGGGTGAGGAGTGGGGGAGGATGGAGGGGAGGCTAAACCAGCTGCATATGTTTATTGGTTAAAATTGAACCCTTCAGGGCTTTGGAAGACCTGATTCCATTCATATCTCAAGCTTTTGCAGGATGCATGTTTGCTTTGTGATGAAGTGGTGTTCGGTGTTCGGTGTTCAGTTTGTTAGGAATGATAATAACTCCTTGCCATTTTACAGCTTTGGTCATAAAATAGTTGTTTTGATCTGGTGAGAGAGTTTCTTTGTCTCCTCACTTTGTCTTAAATCTCTAACTGAATATTACTGCTGACTGGCTCTCTTCTCTGGTATGGATGTTACAGGATGTTTCAGGAACATGTCAGGCTGGAAGGCTGTCAAGCCTGGGAAGATCTGTGCTAATGTCCTCCTTGGCTGGAAGGTAGTTGATAGTTGATAGGTGGAAAGTAGTTGATGGAGTTCAGAGCAGCACATGCTCATCAAATTATATTTCTCACAGAATAAATCTATACAGATCATGGTTTAAGTCCATTAGTAATAGCTATACCAAAATTCTATCCTCTGGAGAGTAAGTGTGTCATACACAGTGGATCAAACTTGGAAATCCAGGAGAAAGCTGTTGGGATTGATCATTAGATAAATTGCTAATGTATGCAATAAATATATGAAAATAAAAGACATTAAGTTACTATACAAATGATGTTCATTCAGCCAAAAGTGATACCACCAGAAGTAAATTTTAGATACTGTAAGAAGAGTTTTGGGTAATGCATATAGCCTATCTTGCTGCATTGCTGTTATGTATGCAGCATCACAGCTTTGGCACTGATAACGATGTGTAGTTATTACTGAATTGCTCATAAAGCATCAAAAGATTATAAACAGTTGAACATTAAATCATACCTATGGGAACCATAATATGACATGACAACTTTCAGTAATGGAAGGTGTTTGGAAGTTTCATCGTTATGAGCGAAAAGTAAAAATATGCTCACAGAGGCACTCTGAAGAACTTAACAGGAATAATGTTGAGATAGTAACGTCTCAAAGTTATATCTACACTGCTGAAATTGTGAAAATATCACTGAAAATTTTAGAGGCAGGTAGTAACAGTTCCAGCAAAATAACTCTGTAACCATCTTCTCATAACACTGACACAACTGGGGAAAATAATGCGCCTAAGGAATAGTTACAGAATATAACGTCAATGAGTAGACTAAAGTCCCATTAATATGAGTGGATCATGACTCCTGCGAGAACCATTACAGCAGCAAGCATTTTGCTAATGAACATATGTTCAGACTGATACGTGTGGCTGCCATAAACCTGTAGAACTCCCATACTCTTATCCCAGTGATCTGTGGGTTGCACACGAGTCCTTTTCTTAGGCTTCATTAGACTGCAGCAGAGATGGAGAGAACCAGTCTGGCAGTTGGTTTGCTTCATCCCTTCACTAGGTCCAAACACATCCGCTTAAATGAGGAGGTGTTCTTGGGTGTAGTGTGTTAGAAACTGGATGTTGAATAAAGCAAACAAAAACCAGTATCTTAATTTCAAGTTTCATTAGACTGATGGAAGGAAAGAAAAAAAAACCCTAATCACTGCCAAATAGAAAAGGAAAACAAAAACTTGTCAGTGAGAAACATTATCCAGCTACCAAGAAAAAATGACAATGGACATAAAAATATTATTAGAATCTATAAAACCTATAATTGGGCAGCCCTTTTTTCCCATATATGAATATCTTGGTAATTGTCTATTCTGTAAAGCATGTATTGTTGTTTTTTTCTACTTTTTCATGTAGCAGTAAGTTCTAGGATATGGATTTTCTTTTGCCAATCCATATATATGGCATTAGGTGGGTTTAGAGTCAAATGGTGCCCTCTGTTATTCCGGATCATTAGACGCTATAGCAGTAAGTTACACTCCCAAACCCTAGGAAAGGAAGGGGCTTGTGTTGCATATACCCAGACCCATCCAGCACAGTGGGGCTGACACTGGCAGCAAGGTGGAGGGAGTATGCCAAACAGAGGCAAGGCAGGGGTTTGTGAGGCAGGGGAGATGCAGCTATCCTGGAGGCATAATTCACAGCCTGTCCTGCTGACAGGCAGAAGTGGGAGGAGTGATTGCTGGCAGAGGGCTGAAGTGTCCCCATTTCATTTGCGTGATGCTGTGGCTTTAAAAGACATCCCTGCGCCAAGCGCATAGCTGAGCAGACACAGACTGAGCTGCTGTAGCAGGCTGCTGTGCCCACTGGAGCACAGTGCTCTGGGAAAAGTGGTGTCAGCCTCCTGCAGCAATTGCCTGCATGCTATGTGTATATGTTGAGCCAAGCGCACATCACTCACATTACCTTGTGGCACAGCACAGGGGTGGAAGTAGGCGAAGGTTTTGGGATGGTGTCAGACTCAGCGAATGTGTGTGACTCCGCCAGGGAAAGCCCCAGGCTCCTATCCATGTGTGGCAGTGCTGCTGCTGGTCAGCAAAGGCAGCATGGCAGCATCAGGGCTTTGTCTTCATGCAGGATGCTGAGAACCTCTGTAATACAAAGGGTAATGTGTCTGAATGTATTGCTCAATTGACATTTCAACATTTCACTGGAATCTAAGTGAATCACTGTGGTCTAAGGCTTTAAGATTGCAGCCATATGCTTAAAATTACATGTGAGTTCACTCACTTTGCTGATATGGGACAGGAGTGTTTGGAATTATGATAGATCAAGCCCTTGTTTTACTTCTCTTATTTGCCTCTTTATCTATGATTATCTTAATTGTTAGTCTTTCTGCCTAGAGCATAAGTTTTGATTCAGCCCAGATCAGTAGAAAACAAAATACTATTACTTTCATAAGTAGTTCAGAATTCATGCAAAATTAGCTTCTGCAGATAAAAAGGAGCTTGCTGCTCCTTGTTTGTTGTTTCTAAACATTTGGTTGGAAAGCAAAACAAGAAACCAAACCAAAAGAAACCTGAACACACAGACTCCTCAGCATAATCCGTACCTTTTGTAAGACAATTTGGGATAGACTTTCCATATTCATATCCATACTTAATATTTTTGTGAAGTGGGACGAATTATTTTTTTTATATATTAATCAGGCACAAGAAAGGTTATCCGCTGATTAGAAGATACTTCAAACAACCTTTATGTGACTAGGCAAAATGAGGCACAGGCATTTTGCATAATGGGCTGTTAACACCCAGCTCTGAATGCAGCCTTAAGTCTGCACAGCAGATCTAGCGTCTAGTGTCAGACATAGCAAAAAGCGTAAAACATCAAATTCCAGGGGTTTGAGTTTATAAAATCTGAGTCTGAATCTTTCATCCTTTATCATTTTGGTTGGTTTTTTGTTTTTTTTCATTAGCAGCCTCAATAGGAAAATGAGAAAGATGATAGTGCTCGGCTTCACCAGCCATCTGGGTAGCGGTTCCTTATGGTTCAAGGGCGGGGCGGGAAGTGTGGGAACAGGTTGGCAGAACACAACCAGACTTCACCATGCACAGGTGTTTTTCTTTTGCAGATAACACTTATGTTTCCAGTTCTGATAACGACGAAGATGTGTTAGTTACAACAGAGCCAATTCCAGTAATTTTCCACCAAATCGCTACAGGTAATCTTATGTCCCAAGTGTTTTATTGAGTTTGTAATTTGTAAGGAAAGATAGGATGTTGCCTGCCCTTAAAGGGAGATATGTTAATGTGTGTAGTTACACAGTTTGCGATTTTCTCACATTCTTGGTGTAGTAGATTGTCCTATATTTCATAATAGAAAAAATTAAAATATTTCTTTTGGAGATCACCATGATTGTGTAGGCAGGATGTATTTTATTCTTTTAATGTCTTGCAGTATGTGCTAAAGCAATTCTCCTTGGATATAGTTAGAGGTGCTTAATACTTCCCAATTGTAAGTTTTCATGCTTGCTTGCTTAAAGCTTCACTAAATCTTCACGACTGGGGATGAAACAGTCTATAACTATCATTGTCTCTCATAAATTATTTCAGGAAATTTCGAACAAAATGGTCCAGCTGTTTCACTAAATTAGACTATAAAAAACAAATATATTTTTTCCAAAGATTTTGGGAACCTTTCGTTTGAAATTATCTCCATAGTTTTAAAAATTATTTGATACGTGAAAAGTTATGCTTCTCAGACATACAGGCAATATATAATCAATATTATGCATACTCCATAGAGACTTTTTAGATTCTAGCAGACAAATTCCCTGATGATTTCAGGCTGAGGAGAAACTGCAGAGAGCAGTCTTAATTCTGGCAGCTCTTGAGACAGGAACGCTTGACTTTGCAGTCTTTTTATTATTATTACAATGCTTTAGGGCTTTTAGGGCATAACACAAAATTACTTCGAATTCCACTGGAAAACCAGTATGATCTTCAGTCTCTAATCTCATTTTTACTGATGCAAATCAAGAATAATTTTACTAAAGTCAGTGCAGTGGCACCTAAACAAAAACTGTCCATTATAGTCAGAAGATAAATTTTACTCTCAAAATTTCTGTAACTTAAAAAGAAATAAAGCCTGTAATTTAAAATAGAATAAAAAACTATGTCTTGTGTAGAAGACGATATGATTTCATTTTGCTGGGGGAGTATGATTTTTCATTCTTTAATAAAGTATACAAAACTAGTAAATGACACTAAATTGTAAATCACATATTGGGAAAAACAAATCTCGTAGGTGGACCAGCTGAGTTTCATTTCACAGTTAAAAATATGAGAATTCTGAAATACAGGGGTTTCTATTTCACATTTTTCACAAATTTTCCTATTTTCCCTTTTTTCAAAAGAATTAAGAAAAACGAGCGATGTCAACTATTGCTTATCCATAAAATCAAAATTGCAGAGGGAGATTGGAGAGGTATGTATTTCTTGTATCGCATTTTGACAGAAGCTTTTTTTAAGAAACCATAGAAAATAATAAAGTATGAATGTTTACTATATCATGCCAAATGTGTGCACGTGCAAGCTCTACACATTTCACTTGTTAGAAGATGGAATAGTTCCCTGGGTTTCATACCTAGATTAACCAGTGAATCACTTAGTTGGGATAGGGATGCTCCCATCACGGTTTTCACATTTATTTCATTTTTTGTTCAACATTGGTATAGACCCCATCTGCCTTAAAAATACATCTCTTCTGGAGAAGTAGATCATGATTCCATTACCTTTTAATCTACTCTTTCACATAGCATCATATCACATTTATTAGCTCACTGCTTCTTTGCCTGCCCTACAGCAGCCTTACTCAAAGCTCTAGACCTCTGCATGACTCTATTCACCATAAGTAGTGTCTGGAGTATTCAGGCCTTCCAGTCATGGTTGTATTTTTGTTGTACCTCTGGTATGGGTCACTCACGTCTCACAGAGACATTACCTCAAGTACAGAGTGGCACTACAGTGAACTCTGCAGGGCTTGATAGTGTTACAGGCTCAAAGAAAGTACCACATAGGCTCCTACCCCAAGCAGGAATTGACCATTATATCAAGAATAAAGACTTCCCTCAGTAAGGCTGGTTGCTGAGTTTCTTGATGACTGCTTTTTAAGCATCTGTGATTGATCCTGGAAAGGGAAGATAAAGCACGGCCAGATACTCTGAAGTGTATGGTTGGGTTTTTTTGGTAGATGAGACCTGATTTGTTGTAAGATGCTGCACTGGAAGTACTTTGCTTCTACTGCCTTGTCATTGTATTCAGTACTTAGTAAACTAGAAAATTTCAAATACAGGAAGAATTTACCTATTTGGTTAAAAGCCTGAGATATATTTAGCTTCTATGTGTTAGAGTTTGAGCTTTTATTTTGTTTTAGGTGGACGTTGTACGAGGCACTTAAATATGAAATCACTGGGGGAAAAAAACTTTAAAAAAGTCTTTAACACTGACCGTTTCTATTGGCTAGAGGTTTGGTTAGGGTGGGATTAGTTTGTCACTGTTCTAATGTGAGAGTTTCATTTCTCTTGGGTTTGTGTTGAATTTTTGTTCTGTTGAGTTCTGTTTTGACACACACTTCGCCTTGAGCTAAGGTTCTTATAAACAAAGAAGACTAAAGTCGCTTCGTTTCTTTTCAAAGAAGTAGAAGCAGGTTGTTTTTTTTTATGCCTTGTCACAGAAAATTGCTGTGAAATTTGTTGAGATACAGTTTTTGTTCTATAAATGTGTACAGTGAATAGAGCTGGAATTTAGAAGCAAAGGTAGGGAAATAGGATTAGAAGGTCTGACCATAGAAATTGATGATAGGGTATATTTGACATTTATGACTATATGGGATTTAGAGGTAACTTTAATTCTTTGATTCATGCATCTGATTTCCATTTCATTATGGCAGTTCTGTGCAGAACATAAGTACAAAATAAACAGTGAGTATATCATGGTCATTTTGAAGCGAAGAATTATGACTTTAACAGGTGTTCTTTAGGGTATCCTTATCAGCATAGGGCCTAGAAATCCTACATGGATTGTGTGAAACAAGAACTAATATCTTCAAGCAATTATATGATTATAAGTAAAGGTTCCATTGGTGGGAAGCAGAATATAACACTTCAGCTCATGCTGAGATGCAGTCTGTACAAGGATCAGTTCTATTTACTTGAATGCAATTACCCACAGAGCAGCCTACTTAGAGTAGGTTTTGCGTGAGTAAGCATATTACTTATCCTTCATTTTCAAGGTCTCAGATCAGAAGTAGTCAGAAAATTAAGTATGAACTTCTCTGGCAACAGGCTGGAACTTCTGTTAAAAATAATAATTAAGCAGCAATCTGTCGTTTTTTCACAGAAAGGAATTTAAGAGATCCCATGCTTGGACTTGATTCGCTTAAACTCTTCAAATTGATTTACCATAATAAAGTAAATTAAAATTTTATTAGGTCACTGAAACACCATATTAAGTCCAGAACCTGTCTTGGTGGGTAAATTATGCTTTGTTTAGCAGAAGAACAGAGTGAAGTATGCCTACATAGTCTACTGAATTCCCCAGTTTCTTAAAATACCACGCTGTGTCTGTAGCCAGACAAATTAATATATGTCCAGCTTATTATCAGGGTATTTTCAGGTACCTAGTTGGTAGGTGCTTATTTTGCCTGATACTTCACTGTTCTTAACACAGACCTTTAGTACTTATCTGAAAAAATGGTGCTAGAAGATCTCTTAATAAACAGTACTATGAGCTTATTGGTAAAAACATAATTCCTTTAGTTATAATTAGAACTATAAATGCAAGATAAGCATATCACTTGTACCATTGTTAACTATCGTTTTCCATTAAGGAGTCACGGCACAACAGCACAGTTGAAGAAGACTCTGAAGGAGATAATGATTCTGAGGAGTTTTATTACGGTGGACAGGTAATGGGGGAAATTTTTGCACAAGTTTCAATAGATCAGTCTTTGAAAACTTCTGTTATTCATTCCATTGTAAATATATTATAATAATGAATTTCTTATGTTTATTCAACATCAAATAGAACGCCATGTGTACGTATACACAGTATCTCATAGCAGAAATATTGTATATGTTATACTGTATAATTATATCAAATTTAAAATTAGTTTCTTTACATTTGCAAAGCTCTAAGAATAGAAAACATGGGTAATCTTCAGAACATTTGAAAATAGAGGCCAGTTGCCTTACTTCCAGGAAACAGTCACTCTTTAAAGCTTATCCTGTTATTGATACAAATGTGAAGTCAGATTGGATCCAAGTCTTTTTCCTTCTGGAGGAATGCCATTTTGTAAAGTCAAAGCCACTGCAATTTAATGATGAAAATGGTTATTACAAAACAATTTTGATATAGACAATAGTCCATTCTTTTTCTGAGATGAACAGTTAAATTTACCTTGAAAAATGATACGTATTTTCAGATGAATACACTGCACTGTGCCTTCCCTTCTTGTTCCCTCAGCAGAATCAGTTATTATTACCTCTTCTTATGTATTGGGAAATAAGATCTCTTAATCTCTTTTCCTTTTACAGTGTCAGCAGAGCACTTCATGCTGCTAGTCTCTTTATTCAGATTTTTCTAATATTTTTAGTCTAACTGTTGCCCCAAAGGGTTCATTCCTCGCTTATGTTATTAGAACTGTATATTTCAATGAACATTTTCATGAATTATGGTTGCTGTTTATGGAAGTTGTTACTGCCTCAGCCTTGTGGCTGAAGCCATCCGTGCCCTGGGTGCAGAGCCAAGGCAGCAGGAGCATGCCAGCCATGCCAGCCGGTTGGGTCGGTGCAGAAAGCGTGGGATGCTGATGAGCAGGACATCAGCGAGCCTCATCTCTTGCAGAGCCAACAGCGTGGTGGGGTTTCAACACGAAATATATGTTGAGTTGCTTTATTCTAACAAAAAAAAACCAACAAACTTACACACCCCTAAAAGGCTGTTAAAAGTGAAACTGGAACTAAAAGACTGTATTTTCAGTGTCAGAAATAACTGGCATTGGGTATTGACTCATGGTTGTTTTAGAAATGACTGCAGGAATTGGTTCCTTTTAGCTGCTGACTCCGGCAGCCCCACAGAGCACAGGGGAGGACCGTGTGCACATGCTTCAGTGCAAACAGCAATGTCTTATCTGAGAGAAAAAAAAAATGTTCTGATTTTCCCCTGTAGTGATGAGTTGTGTGTACTGGCTCAATTTTTCAACTATGGCAGAAAGGGCGGTAACCTCAAGGTGAAGGAAAAGGCAACAAACGGTGCTTATTTCTTAAACCAGCACTAATGCATTTGGTAAAGGATGCCTTCCAGAGCCCAAATGAATGAATAAATATTAACTCTGAGATACAAACACAGACAGCAGTACATAATTTTGCAAGGTGTAAAAGAGCTGTGTAATAGGCAATACTGATTAGAATTTAGTTTCCTTATATTTGAAATATAAGCTACATTATATTGCATTGTCATTTACTTAAGGAAATTCGTTTAACTGAAGGAATTACAAATGGCAAAAACTCCCCAGTTAGATCACCAGTAAAAATAAAATATCAGATGACTGTGAATGTCTTGAGTAAAGAATATCCAAAAAGCAAAACAAGGAGAACAAACAAAAAGACATTACCGAAAGTATATTTAACGAGAGAGGAAAAGGGAAATTTTGAATTTAAAATTTCATGGTCAAAACAACAAAATTCTAAGGAAGACCTGTAGAATTAAAGAAAATATTGAGGACTCAGAAAATAAATAGGAAATCTGGTAATGAGCGTAGTCCTTTGAGAGATAAAGAAAGCAGTCCTTTTTCAGATTAAGTAATTGTGTTATTAAGTGAGTACCAGATATATTCAACAAAATAGGTGACTGTATATGTGGGGAACAAGCAAGGCAAGCTACTTAATTTGAGACAAATGTCTGCTGTGCCCACAGAGAAAGGGGACAAAAATTCTGGCTTTAGCAACTAGCGGAAAAAGATGCCAGTGTAACTGTGTGCAATACAGTTGGGAAATGCAGAGGTCAGAGATAATTCTTAAAATTTCTAAGTGTTTACAGCTGGAAAGACAAGAAAGCATCTGATGATGAAACAAGGACCATGGAAGATGAGAAATGGCCTTTGATGGGCAGTGAAAGCAAGATACAATCTTTTGGTCAAAAGTTAAATATTTGTGTCTGTTTCCTAAACACCTGTCTGTAATCCTCCCTAAGGATTTGATGGATAAATACTTTAAAGTAGCTAAGTGGTTTAATAGCCTAAAACCATTTGATTTACAGTGGGATTAAGGTTTGTAAATCACTTAATCTCCTTTAAAAACACAACCTTTTGTCATTAGGTGGGACAAAATAATCTGAATCAGGTCTCAGATTAAAAATGGAGAGTTTCTAATCACAGACCTTTCAGATACAGCGAAGTTACAAGTTTTTTTATTTTTTATATGCACTTTCTCTGAGACTGTTAATTCTTAATTTGAATCTATATTTTCTACATTTGCAAATGAGAACAGGAGATTGAAACAGTAATACAGCTTCCTTTGGTGCTCTCTCTCCCACTCTGTTGCGCTTCAGTTACAGGAATACTTGCAAATGCAGATAGATACACAAAATTTGGCAGTCTCCTTTGCATGCATAAGCATGTCTGTGGCACTAATTCAGGGGTGGAAAATATCGTATTGTGGTCTTACAATTTTTGTTGCCTTTTTGAGTTCATAACCTCTTAACATCAGAAAATAGATTGGAGAAAGCATTCTGTTGAGCAGTTCAGTGTTCTGCATAGTGTTCCTTTTGGATTTTACTATTATTCATACATAAAACTGATTAAAAATATGTGGTGTAGGTCCCACAAAAGTAGTGAGTGCACCACAGCTACAATTTGTGAAACAATTGCTGTGCTTTCTTTGCAAGTAGGGCAGCCATTACTTATGCATCTTTAAAGAATTCATTTTTTGCATGTTAAAAGGATTAGTTTGCTCCTATGTAAAGTGGGAGAAAAATGTAATAATGGTTTTCTTTTTATTCTCTTCTACTTGAAAAATTGTTCTGACATGCCTGCACAAACAAGGGAGGGACACTTGGCTTTTTTCCTTCTGGTCATGAATATCATTGACCAACATTGATACCACTGATAAACATATGCCACTGGTATGCTGATGAATTCTCTGCCTTATATTTGAAGAGTTCTAAGTCTAATCAAATAATTCTTTGCTAATTTTCACGTGTAGAAAGTGATCAGATGATTACTATTTTAATTCTATTGAAATTATTTAATTAGATTAAAAAGTACATCTCTAGATATCAGTGCTGCAAGTGTCACTGCACTGGTCTACGGATTTGGATGTACAAATGGAAGAAACAGTACTGCAGTTAGATACAGTTGCTGCAGTAGCAAACATTCACTGCAGGAATTCCTGTATGAGGATATACATATCTAAAGACATCAGTTATACTCTTGTGCTTTGCTTTCTGCGTTTTTTTGAAGCTACAAGCCAAATCCTACTCTCATTTCTGAATCTGTCCAAATTCAGGGACTTCATCAACTTTTGTGGAATTACTGTCATTCTAGTTGTTGTAAAGAAATAGAATTAAGTTCACACAATCAAAAGCATATTGCTTAACAGGAAAATAGACTGTGAACAGATTGTTCTAAGTCTAAAGAGGTATTTTAGTGCTTGTGAAAGATAGGAGGATATTAATTACTGTAACATCCTACAGTCCAGCCAAACTGGCTCACAAGTTTTGCTTATTAAACTAAAAGAGGGAGGATTCTGACTGTATGTAAGGAAGAAATACTTTACAATGAGGGTGGTAAAATCCTGGCACAGGGTGCCCAGAGATGTGGTGGATGCATCATCCCTGGAGATACTTAAGACTAAGCTGTATGTGATTCTGGGCAACCTGATCTGGATGAAGATGTTCCTGCTTATGGCAGGGCATTGGACTAGATGACCTTTGGTGGTCCCTTCCAACCCAAACTATTCTATGATTCTATGATTCTACACTGTAAGCACTAACATAATGTTTTCAATTTTTCATGTAGAATTTGAAAAATATGGGGATAATTTCTAAACACTTGTTTCTTTATACCTTCTCTGGTAAAATACTAAAAATGAGACAGTGTTCTTTAATTTTCTTTTTTCATTTGATACCATTGCACTGGTGGATAGAATACAGCCAGTGGGTTGACTGAAAATGTAACTTTGATGCTGTGACACTTGGTATACAGAATAGATTTACGCTTCTCTTGTTAAGCCCAAGCCATTTTGTGTCTAGTACATATGACAGTGTGACAGCAAGCAAGAGGGATCAAAACTTTGGCCTGTAATGATTGAACTGGGGTGATATGACTGGGGAGATCTAGTTCTTCTCCTACTTACCAGTTTTAAAAATGCAGAAGTGCCCCAGGACTGATCCCAGGGCAATACAGGACAGGGGATGAGTCAATTGCAGCTTCTCTTCCCACAAACAAGAGTGGGGCCCTCAAAAATTTTGATGCAGAGATACCTGCTTTGCAAATCTCATCAATCAGCAGAGTTAGGCCGCATACGTGTTTCAGCTTGTCAACACAGTGTCCTTTCTAAGCATTGCATTAAGGAATCTTAATGCAGCATATTTTTGCACGGGAAAGTTTCAGAAGCCTACATCAGGTGCCAGTAATGAAATAAATAAGAACTCCCAGGATATTTTTCTCCCTGACAGGTTAGCTATGATGGAGAACTTCACAAGCACCCTCAGCTGGAGGCTGATTTGACAGCAGTGAGAGAGATCTATGGACCTAATGCAGTATCTCTCAGGTATGGTACCAATCTTTCCATATCGTGGAACCTTTAATGTTTAGGAGACTGAGTTCTTTCTGGACTTTCCCTGACTACCAGAGCACAAGTCTCTTCTGATGATTTCTGCATATTGTATGGCAAAAAGAAGGAGCATTGCTGGCAAGCAGTGATGCTTTCTTTGGGGAGTGTTGGGGTGGTTGAGAGCTTATTTAACAGGCCGTGCTCAGCCTGTTACAAAGCATCACTGTGTTCTGCAGTTCAGTTGGTATTTGATTGGGCTGTTGTATTTTCTTGGAAATTACTAGTCAGTATTACTCTAAACCCTTGTTAAACTCCTGTTCTGTCATATTCTGTCTTTTGTCCTGGAGGTGAACAAAAGGAATGATAAGAGGTTTAGTAAATGTTTTCCCTAGGGAAAGATTGAAGGAATTGGATTTGTCTAGTTTGGGAAAAAGAGAAGACCTAATAACAGTCCTTCTTTCAAAGAAGCTGTTTGTAAATAGGAGGAGTGATCAAGTGTTCTCATCTTGAGGGAGACAATAAGAAACTAGCTGTGCTAGCAACAAACAAGTATTCATTAGGCTTTAGGAAAACTTTCTAGCTGTGGTAATTTAAAGTATCCTACAAAAGCAGGTGGTGGAACTCAGTCACAGGTGGATTGCACAGGTTAATTATGCCAGAATTCTGTTGGACATATATCATATGGCATATGGCTCTATGATATTTTTATTACGCTTCTGGTCTTTTATAACTTCACTGTCCATCTCTGTAATCTTAATGTTTTAATTAACATAGGCAAGATGTAGCAGATCTGTCAGATGTATTACGAAGAAAATCTCAAAGTTGTTGTACAGACCAAGTAATTAGATACAGAGAATATAATAAATTTAGGCATACATATATTGCAAGTAACAATTCCCATTAACCTCTAAACAATAAGCTCTGTTATTTTTGTCTAAGAGAGAACATGTATACAACTGAGGTGTGCTATGCCTTTTGAAATTAAATGGAAATTTCATTACATTTTGAGGACCTGGGGAATTAAAATCCAAATAGTTGTGTATGGTCTTAGGAAATGAATGAGATAAATGTTTAGTTGCCAAACTGATAACTATGAAATTGAGAATACCTTGTTGATACGCTCCCTCAGGCTCCTAAAACTGTAACACTGTACGTAACCTTTCAAAAACTTAATGCATCTAATTTATTTTATCAACTATTTGCATTGAAAGCAGTGTGATCTCATTGAGCTCACTGCAGTAAACACTGGCATTTGTGGCTGCTTTTGGCGTGTGAAAAACTTTCATGCTTCTTCCACTCCACGGCAGTTGAAAATACTTTTAAATTCTTGGAAATGAAAAACACATCATTAAGCATTGTTTCATCCCTCTCCTGCAGCTCCCCTTCTCTGTGGAGAGAAAAGTCTGTCTGACAGTGATACCCTCTAAGATGCTCATTTCCTACACAGTTTACCCTCTTTTAGTAGTCTCTTGCTGTCATATTGTCATAGTCTCTTGAAGTAGTCAACTGCACATAGATAATGTATACCTGCATGCTTTCCACAACTGCCCTTTGAAAACTGGCCATCAAAGCCACCAGACCTCTGACCAACTGATCCCAAACTTCAGTATCTATTTACATTGCTTATGCACTGATGGACAAAGGACCTCTGGGAGCTTCAAAATCAGAATGTGTTCATGGAGCTCTTGTAGGAAGCAGATCATAAGCTGCAGCTGTTATAAGAAAGCATAATTTCTTCCTCCCTTTCAGCTTTCTTCCTCCTTTTTCAGCTTGTGGAAGTAAAACTAGAATCAGCATCATGTGTCTAAAATCCATTTCCTAGGGTCATAATAGAGTGGGGCCTCAGAGGTTTCAGTGAGTATGGAAATTCTGCAGTTATAAATTACTTTTATTTTAGCCTGTCTTCCACTAATATTTCTGTGTTTCATTAGTTCAACTCTACTCCTGTTTAATGTATGGAATTATGCTTGTTCACAGCCTTTTTCATCTCGGTCATAACATCAGTCTGCATTCCTAAATATTACTTAAGACTTCATAAAGATCTGTTCTTTGGATCTTCTGAAAAATTAACAAAAAAAAACTGAGGCCACTGGTGTGCAGGATAGTGGCGAGGCCATTCAATAGGTGGAGAATTTCTCTGTTTCAAAGACAGGTTTTTAGTGAGCTGTAGGAGGTCAGTGAGCACCTCTACAACTTTGGGTGAGCTCTGGAGCAGCTCTCAGGGTGGCTGGGCAGCCTCCAGATAACACAGGCCTGACCTACAGTTTACATGCCCTATGAGTGCCATGTGTGGACATGTCTGATCTAGAGAGAGACTTTGCATTTGACCTTACCCGAGAGAATCATTGGGATGCCAAGGTTTAGCAGAATGGGTTTCCTCCACCAAGCTTCACAAGACGTTGGGGCATTTCCAGCGCAAGCTAGGTCCTACCAGGGGTTGAGAGACCACTTTGATGAGTCATAGTTATAGTCACAATATTTTTGTATTTCAGAATTACCTTGTCAACTTATTTATGCGCAACTGCTACTATGAACTTAGTCTAGTTTAATAGAAAAGTGTGGAAGTCACTGTGAGAACAAGCATATTAATGCAGTGTAAAGAAAAAAAAACTAGTGACTAGAAGCTAATCTGTGAAAAATTGAGAGTGATTGTACTTTTCCAATGTTGTCCACTTAAGTAATTTATATGAAAATGAAAGCAGGTTTTTTATTTAGGTTTATGAATGAGTATTTTCTGTCCTTGCTGTTCAGAAGTCTTCAAGTACTTCAAATACTTCCCCTTCAAGTTCAAGGAGGGCAATAGAATGAGTCAGAAAATAAAAATCAGAGAAGTCACACTTTAAATGTAAGATTTCAGATGGCAAAGAAACACCTATGAGCATAAATTAAATCTGAACCTCAGGGATCCCAGCAATACTACACGTAACAGATAAAATAAGGTAACTATTGCCTAGAGCACGTTACAGGGCAGTCTTTATGTTTTGACAAACAAATGCTTGAATGCATAGAGCAGTCTCACAGGTGTGATATGCCACCCTCTAGGATAGGCTGCATTTGTCATCAGGGATTTGTCACAAACCTCTCCTCAGGTTACTGGCTGTTAACCTGAAATACTTTTGAAAATTGAGGGGTTTCTTTTGCCCTTTATAGGAGCAGCATGTTATTATATTATATTTATGTTATATTATTGGTTTTTTGATTTATTTGTTCAACACAAGAGATAAAAATATATAACAGCAATGGAGAGAGAATTTGGGGGAATGAGTAGAAAAAAAGATTTAGCCTGTTTAAGCAAAATCCATTGAGAAAATCAATGCAGCAGTCACTCACCCACTGTGACTATTGATCCAATCTATGTAAATGTGCATTTTATAACCATTCTGATTTTACAGACGAGATTATCCTCCATAAAATCTTTCCTGTTATAAGTATTCCTGGGCTGAGTAGTATCTTAAAGAACTGCAATGTAATGTAATTCTTTCTTTCAGGGAATATGGAGCCATTGATGATGTAGATATTGATCTGCATATTGATGTTAGCTTTCTTGATGTAAGTAATCTAATCACAGTATTACATAATGAACATTAATACCCATTTAATTCTCCTACACTTCAGACTCTCCAGACAGCCACCTAGACACTCTTTTTTCGGAGTCTTGATCTTCACAAGTGGCTGTCACATTTTGATTGCTACTCAGTGGAAAGGTTTCCTTTTCCTTTTATGAACACATTATTAAAATGCTTTATGAGCTTGTGTATTTTCTTTCAAACATGCTTTGTGCATGATGTTTTAAATGATAGAATTTAATTACTTTTTTTTTTTTTTTCTGTCCTAGACATTAGTTAGGAGAAAGTACTTCATAGAGTCCTGGAGGGAACAGGACTTCTTAACATCTGCAGCTGACTAGGGAGAAGCTTGAGAGGCAGAGGAAACACAGGACAGTGGTGCTGTAGGCAGGCAGCATGGCTTTTGTAACAGTTTTGCTGTCATTAACTCTGAACTTACCTCATCTGTGCAGTAGCTTCCAGCCCTCCAAATAGAGAATAAAAATCAGTGCTTTTAGGGACGTCACTGGCTTCTGCACAGATACGTCATATTATCAAGTCAGCACAATGCATAACATAGCTGTTCGTGGGTTTTTCTAAAATATAAAAAAAATTCTGATCATACCTTATTTTAATCAGTCTAAAGGACCAGAAGTTTCCTTTGCCCTATGTTTTGGGGTGAGTTTCCTTTCCACCTTATTTGCTCCTTTGCTTCTCAGCTTTGAAACAGTATCACTTGATAGATGGAAATGTGTCTGCTTGTACCCTAGATGTAGTGCTGCGTATAAAGCTGTGCTGAGTTTAAATGAGCATACTTAAGAACTGGAAGAAGTCTAACACTACTGTTAGGGGCATCAGCAGGCCATAGCTTGTCTTGAGTCTCTAGTTTAAATTTAAAGTAGATTTTCCACAACTGGGTGAATGGGTGGATGGTATTTATAACAACCCTAAGGTACACTGACAAAATGCATCAGTTCCTCATGATGGCTAATGGTGTCTGTTGTTTTGTTTTTTTTTATCTTAACCTAGGAAGAGATTGCTGTGGCTTGGGATGTAATTCGCACAGAGCCTATAATAGTGCGATTGCACTGTTCACTTACACAGTACTTAAATGGACCAGGTTAGTCACCTGTGTATTCTTTGTATGCCTTGTATGGTGTTTTGGTCCAAACCATGTAAAAGGTGATAGATACTCATTCACTGTCAAATCTTTGACCCTCCATGTGCTTAGATCTACAGCTAATCTACTTGAGAGCAGTCCCACTAGTACTGAAATTATACTCACATATGTTTGCATGGCTTAGGCCCTCAATAATGACATGGACATCTAATTTAAACTTGCATAGATTGATTTTTGGAGCTTGTTTTCCTGATATCCTTTGGAATTCACCTGCTTCCCCTAGGAACCAGTGTTAAGGAAGGAAGACCTACAGTTTCTAATATGTGATTTCCTGATTTGGAGTCAGGCATCATCTGCACATATGAGATATCACTGGTAAGGTAGACACGCACAGACCTGTGCAGCGCATTGATACGCATTTTTTTCATACACCTTTGAAGAATCAGGCAATGATAATTATCCTTTCAGCTTCTGATTTCTGTATGACTGAAATCTGGAAATCTTTAGATTTGATTAAGTGAGTAAACCTTCCTCATGAAAGTAAAACTGGTCAACTTCTGAAGTATCAGCTGAAGATTTGGAAACATTCATATGCATAATTCAACTTCAAATGTATTTTTACAGTGGGAAGTCATAAGTAAGTTGCAATTTAGATCATAATTTGCCTGGCTTTGGAGGGTTCCAGTACAAGCTGTCAGTTCAGGCTTATATTTGTGGAAGAATTCTGCCTCCAGAAAAAGAATAGATATTTCCAGTCATGTTTAGAAAAATCTATCCCAATGAGCTATTTTAGGGTATGTTGCCTGCCGACACTAACTATAAGCTATATTCTGTTCACTCAAATAAGCATTTCAACACATCAATCTTTTTTACTTTTTTTTTTTGTTTGTTTGTTTCCTTGACTTTGGTCTTTTTGTCTCTATTTTATTGCTTTAATCTTTCTTTGTAAATATGCAGATCTTAAAATACGTATTTGCTATAGCAGGCAGCAGAGTTAGCATTCCGAGTATTTCTATGAAAATGTAATTTAAAAAATAAAAATGCAGCAAATAAGAGAAGGTGAAGCGTGAAGAGCAGCATGCAGTAAGAAATGATCTAGTGAAATGAGAAGTAACATCAAAATATCTTCTGCACCGCTGGCAAGGTTAAAACGGGAAGCTTAGTTCCCAGTCCTGTAGCTGACTGATTGTGCCTGAATACCAAGAAAGTCAACATCAGGGCCAGAGGCAAGTGCTTCAGGGATTCTGATTTTATGAGCTCAGCTGCTGTTGCAGCCATGTCTCTTTATTTACCAGAAAAGCATGGTGAGATCCATCGTCTTTTGTGTTTAATTCTCTGTGAATTCCTCTCTCCCTTTGTGTATGTTTTTTGTTGAGACTACTGTATGATAACTTTATGCTGCATTTTTTCTCCTATAGTACTTTCTGTTGATCAGTAAAAGAAACAGAAATGCAGTATACTCCAAAGCACAATGGGGGCGTATTAGTACCACCTTGTAGCTGTATGGTACCTTGGTTTTAGTCAGTCATTCTTCTAGTTAATAGCTTATCTCATTATTCTATTGTGGACAGTTCCTCCCACATGCCTTAGAAGACTGTCTTGAATGAGGATGAATCAGCTGTTGGAAGTACTGGGATGTCTCATCTGGCTGTAGAGCTTAGTAGTCTAGATGTCAGAGTTTAAGATTGCTGTTCTAGATATGATGTTTCTCATTGAAAGTATCACCCCACCATTGTGTATCCTAAATTTAGCAATCTAAAGGCATTGCTATCCCTAATCAAATCATTATTCCCTTTTGAGAAAGTCATCAGGGTTTTTTTTAAGTAAGAGATCATATTTGAATAATAACATCAGAGAAAGGCTATCTACAGGGCTTTGAGCTACATGAAATTAGACAGCCAGGTTATATATATAGTATTTTAATTTTAAACTTAATTTATTAAAGCAAAATTAAAGGATAAACTTTGACATTCTGAATAAAATCAGAATAATACAGATTTTAAAATACTGATTTGTTTTTTCTAATAAGATTTGAACCAACCCCAATTTTTTTGTTTTCATTCCTTTTTTATTTTACTGTAGTCATTACCATCCTATGTAATATGAAGTATAAAGTCTATTTGTGCTCGCACATGTTTTGGCTGTTGCTGTGCCTTGAGGACCTAAGGCACTCTCAGCAGTGCTTGATTCCATCTGCCAGTTTTATCTAGTAAATGTTGTAAAGCTTTAACTCCATACAGTTTCAGTTTTCTGACAGGTGAGTATGGATATACCAATGTTAGGATGGGTCCTGAGGAAAATTTAGGGTAATCCTTGGCCACTGGAATTCATATACCTGGCACTTAGATGACAATTAGAGATCTTGTATTAAAAGGCTATCAGAAGGAAAGCCCAGATACTAATTAATTCAGTTAATTCACTCTGGGTTTCTTCATAGTCACAGTAGTGTGTAAAGACCACTTCCTTGGAATAAATTTTAAGAGTCAAGGGGAGATGAATTACCAGTCCAGATACATCTAATCTGATGCTGCTCTCTAGTAGTTGAATAGTCTAAAAAACAAAGATATGCTTTTTTAAATAAAATTAGTGGGAAGAGGAAGATCTGGAAGAATTCAATTTCTAGAATACTTATTTGTAAAATTACATATTATGTTATCTGGTATTCTGAAAAGGACCATTCATTTCTTAATAGACTTTGATGACATGTCCACTTTCACCCTTACTTCAGTGTTATTGCCTGTAGTAAAAGTCCAGATAGAAACAGGGCCCTTATATACGACTTACATGGTTATGAGTTCTTGATTATTGCTGTATGTTCATATATCAACAATATCTCATTTTTCTGTAGTGCCAACTGTGGATGTATTTCAGATCTCTACCAAGGAAAGATTTGGGCTCGGACATCAGCTGAAAAAGTAAGTCTAGAAAAGTGTAAACCCCTGTTTTTAGGCAAATACTATACTCTTTAAAGTTCCAGGACCATGTCAAGTAGCATAAAATTTACAGGTTGTCAAGTTGGTGAAATCAAAGTGGTTTGAACTTGTTTTCTTTGTGTAAAAAAAATAACAGGACTTGCCTATTTAAGTTCAGTTTTGACAGTTGTTCAGGAGAACCTGATTTGTGCCGCCTGCCAGGGTTTTCTGTCACTTTGCTGCCAGTTAGAAAGTAAGCTGCAGAAGTTCAAAAGACTGTAGCTGGGAGTGTTCAATTTCATGTTTCTACTTAGCTGGTGAAGCCTTTGGAGAGGAATTTTTTGGGCATCACGCTTACCCTAAGGGGGCTTTCATGGTGGCCTCTAGGATGTACCACAGTAATTAGGCCATCTGCAATTTGAGAAGAAGAGGGAAGAGCAGTTGGGAAAAATAGAAGTTCCATGTATTCATTTCATGGTACAATTCAATTCAATACAATTCTGCTGAGTCATCTTTTCACATGTGCTTGTGTATGTGTAATAAAATTACAAGAATATAGGCTTTAATATCTGACCATTACAACATTAAGAATCCCTTAAGAAAAAAAAAACAAAAACAAAACAATTTTTTTTCATGTTTGATGTTTAAAGAAATTCAGTACCTTACAAATGAATCAATGTTATTAAAATCTGTATGGTACGTGACTTTAAAGGAAAAAAATGAAACATTCCTAAAACATCAACTGCCACTTTAAATGTTTCAGTACTTACACTGGCTCTGATTTGTGCACCAGGTAATTACTGAAGGTTCCCATAAGACATTTTCAAGGACATAGCTGCATAACTCACAGGTGAGCAGAAGTCAGAGTACCCATCAATCCCATGGCCCCTCATGGCTGTGACAACAGGGTATTCATCTTTGAAGATTTACTGAATTTTCTGTAAACTGCCACCCTGACTGTATCACTCAAAGGCTCCCACTGCTAGGTTAGTCACAAAGTAATTTGGCTTGGAAGGAAGTTCTGGAGGTCACCTAGTGCAACCTCCTGCTCCAAGTAACACAAACTTCAAAGTTAGATTAGTTGACTTAGAGTCTCAGGCAGTTTAGCTGTGAAATCTTCAACCTTTGTGGATAACCTATTGTACTTAACTTCTTGTGGATGTCTTCTTTGTAGAACCTTTATGGTTCTTAGCTTTCCTTGCTGCAATTTGTCACCACTGACTTTTGCTGTCCATCTCTGAGAAGTGTCCAGCTCTGTCTTCTCTGTAAACCCTCTTTGAGTAGTATAATATTCAACATCCTTACCTTCATGTTTGTGCCTTAAGAGAAGTTGTGAATGCTCCATCCCTGGCAGTGTTCAAGGCCAGGTTGGACAGTCTTGGGTTACATGGTTTAGTGTGAGGTGTCCCTGCTCATGGCAGGGGGGTTGGAACTAGATGATCTTAAGGTCCTTTCCAACCCTAACTATTCTACGATTCTACTTGAGAAGCATGGGTGTTCTAGCCTACCTTTGTAGTCCCTGGAGAGACAAATGCATGTAGTTGCATGTGATGCCTTTGAATCAGTTATATATATTTCTGTAAGAGACATACCAGCATAAGTCTTGCAGTGTTGTTGACATAGACTGTACTCAGTAAGAGTTCCATGTAAATTGAAATTGATTTTATGTGGGGAAAAAAAAAAAAGAAAAACATTTTTGAGGAGCTGAGGCATCCAACCATCAGTCCAGATACATGCCTATAGAGTGAAGACATTGTGTCATGTTCCCTACATGGTGAGCAGGGAGACCCTAGTATTAAAGTGAGTTATGTCTTGGCAAGGATGAGAAACCCTTTTGTTTTTCCTTGATTTGCAGAATCATGCAGACATTTGTTACACAACAGTGGAAGAACAGCAAAGAGAAATCTAATTGTACGCACAATAAGAAGGTGTCTGACAAAAAGGTGAAATCCCCTCTGCACATCTTTTCTACATTGCGCAGGTAATAGCAAGGAAAATTACCTTTTACTATCATATCCTGTTCTAAATCCACAGCAGACTTCACAAGGTGAAATGTTGACTTTTCTCCACAGAGAAGTGCTCTATTTATATCTTACCTCATGGGTTTCCAGTCCTTGCCTTGAATGATATCAAAAGTGAACTAGGTACTGCAGCTTCTAAGACTATTTGAAGGCAGGGGTTTTCAGTTTCTTGCTCTCTGAAACAGACATGTTTAATCTAAAATTCAAAGTAATTAATTTTATTTTATTTAACTTGTATTTTTATTATCTCAGTTGCATTTGGCTATTACTTGAATAGCAAGAATGTCAGCATAAGTGATATATACAAGTAATATACAGCTGTGTGTATTTTTAATTTTTTAAAACTAGAATGGTCATTAATGAAAGACCCTCTCTGCTGTTTGAGTGCATTAATGTTCACCACTTCTGAAATGCAGGCAGAGAATTTTGAAGAGCAAAGGCATTAAAAACATAAGAAGTACTTTGTGAATAGTTCAAGTTCATTATGACTTCTGCTACTTATACTTTTTAGTGTATGTAAAATCAGACTGTGATTTTATGTTTTTCAGGAATGTGACTATTTTGTCTAGCATGTTTTCCTGCTTATGAAGGGTTGACATATCACTCCTGTGCATCTAAATTGAATTCTTCTTTGAACATTCCTTCTTGTTGATGAATTTTGCCATTCTACATTCCATGTATAAAAAAGACGAGTACAGCTAACTCTAACATTGAAGAAGGGAAGAATGCCAAATATAACAGAAGATTATTTGTATTTTCAAAGGTAGACAAGGAAGATGGTATTATGAATAGAAATCTTACCCATTCCTTACTATACCAAACACCAGTGCCTGCTGCAGGCTGTAGCTTGAGGTTTGGTTTTAGTCATGAAGGGCATAAAAAAGCCAGCCCAACCTCTCTCCTCTTGATCTGGCTGCTGCTGCAGTGCCTGTCCAAAGATGGCTCATCCCAAATGCAGGGACCACCCCTCTCCCTAGAGCTCCATCCATACCTCCTGTCTGCAGGAGGGTGGTAGTCAGCCAACTGCAACAGTGAGTCAGCAACCACCACGTGCATCTTCCACTGTTGCCACTTGCTAACAGGGTGGGGAAATCTGCCAGCCTCTTCCCTTGGGATTTCACTTCTCTATTTTATCCAAGCCCAGACAATACTCCAAAGATTGGGGTTGCTTATAAAGCATAGAAAAATGATTCAGCATACCTGTTAACATGTTCGTGCTTTGCAAGGACAGGAGAATGTGAACCTTACAGAAATGGGACAGTTCTTGTGAATGTTGTTTCATCAAAACTTTTTGTTCTTTCTGCATTCATAATTTAGGTCCCTCACATCCTCATTTCTGGTGTTAGAATTTGTCTAAAACAGGAAAGAAGGGAGTCAAATTATCTTTCACAAAGCAACCAGATTCTTATGAGGATTTTAAAAATAATGTTCACCTCAGCTGAGTTAAATCTGATTGACTGCATGCAATTTTCATTGCTCATTATGTCTTCCATTGGATCTGGACACAGGATTTGCTATGCTGTATCCAGAAGACAGTAACTCTTAATGGGATCATGCCATCGTGATTGTATAGGAAAGGTAGATTTTCATAAGGCAAATTTGTTATAATCTCACAGGAAGTATGTTGGTTTCATTTCAAAGATTATTTCCTGAATAAATGGTTTGTATAGAGACACGGATTTACAAACAGCTGTAAGGATACAGCTGTAACTTCTACTTAAGTAGCTAGTCCTCTTTTGATTGATGAGATTGTGAGTAAACAAGAGTAAGATGTCTATTTGGTACTGGAAAGTTATCCCTAGATACAGTTGTTCATTTTTTAATGTTGGGCTGCATTTATCACCAGTGAAATACATAAAGACAGGTAACACTTAAAAATTTGTACATATGTGTTGTCTTGCTTAATTTGCACAGGATGTTGATTATTTTCCCACATTCTCCTCTTCATTTTCAAGGTCGCCAAGTTATCCTCCACCTGGCTGTGGTAAAAATAAGTCAAAACTGAAGTCAGAACAGGATGGCATCTCCAAAACTCACAAGCTACTTAGAAGGACTTGTTCTAGCACAGTGAAAGCGGAGGATGTATGTACCACAAAATCTCACAGAACCTTTGGCCGCTCATTGTCAAGCGACCCGAGGGCTGAACAGACAATGGCCGTTAAATCGCACAAACTGTTGAACCGATCTTACTCTGCGGCTGTCAAGCAGGAGGAGTGCATCGCTTTAAAGCCCCATAAGCTGTTAAGTAGGTCGTGTTCTGGGGATCCTCGATGTGAGCACAACAGCACCTTGAAGCCCCACAAACTTTTAAGCAGGTCCTACTCCAGTAATCTTAGAGTGGAAGAATTGGATGGATTGAAGAATCACAAGTTACTCAGCAAGGCCTACTCCAATGCCCCTAAATCATCCAAAATGGAGCCTTTCAAGGAGTCCACCATAGCAGAGAGCAGGAGGCTCTCTCTTACCTCAGGGCTTATTGGTATCTTAACACCATCTTCATCATCACCTTCACAAGCTGCTGTGCGTAAAAATTTATTTTATTCTGCTTATTTTCCTCCTATTGTTTTCCAAACATGCTCTTATTCTTACTATGCAAATGCATTAATACTTACGTTAGTGAATACATTGGATATATTGAATATATTGAGAGACAAGAGCAATGTAGTCAGCTTCTTCAGGAGGATTTAAACAACTGTGCATGCACATCTATTTAAGTTATAAAATCAGAATTTGCTTAGATCAAGACAGATATTTTATATGTAATATACAGCTCAGTGTACAGCTGCTGGCCATGGGAAAAGTTCAGTCATCCACTTCCTTCCTTGCCTCTTCTCTTGCTGCAGGAAGAAGGAAGTGTGCATCTGGCTTGGTTGTACAGGTTTCCTCTCATTTCCCTCTTTCCTTCTTAGGGAATGCAATTGTGATTCAGCTCACTTCTTGCACATTTGTGCATTGTGAAAGGTTAAATCTTCAAATGCTCTGGGGACAGACAGAGATTGGGAAAGGGATTAGGCCCACACTGGCTCCCTTTCTTTCCCCAGAGACATGATCACTTCAAAAAACAAAGGGTAGCACATATTATTAAATTTAAGAAAGAGAAGACTGAGCTCTGAAAATTAATCTTTCTGCCTCTTAAAAGATGGCTCTTATACTTTAGACGAAAGAGTGGGTCTGTCTGTACTCTTTCAAGACACCAGTCAGTTTTCTGTTATGTTTGGGAAGAGGCACTTAAGAGGTAGTCTTCTCCGTTCCCTTAACCTGGTTGGTACCTTGATGTTCTCAGCAAGAAAAAAAAAAAAAACAAAAACTGATTCTTGCTTAAAATATCATACATATATTCAAAATAATGCATTCTGAATAATGAAATTACATTGTGTGTCTCATGGTTAATTAGTTTAATAAACTGTGAGCTACACTCATCAGGTCTAAAAGCAATGATATACTATCACAAAACCATTTATATACGTGCTGTGTGGTTGGTTCATGTAATGTGCACAGTAAAATTAATTTAAGGTGGGCTAACTGACTTTTTACTTCTTGTGGTGTAAAAATGCATTTTTTTATGAATCAGTGGAGGATGTCTTAACATGGCAAGGTTTTTCTGTCCTGAAGTTAATAGGAAAAATCCCATTGGTTTTGAAAAAGATAATGAAGAGTTGACTAAGTGGTTTAATTACTGATATCAGCTTATAAGGAAGAAAAGCAAGCCATGCTTGATAGTCTATAAAAGCTACCAGTAATTTATTGTGAGAATGCATTTACTTTGAGGGAAAATTATCACATACATGGTCAGGTGCAGTTTGGCTGATGTTATAGGAAAGGCGTCAGGAGTCCATTTCACATTCTACATGCAGACATTAGATGTATGGGTAGCCTGGGTGCCTGACTGCGATTTCAAGTCAGTGGAATGTGGAAGTGATAAATAAGGACCCTAACTTCTCTTAATTTCTCAGCTAAAATATTTGAACCTCATATATGAGTGCCATTAGGATGGTTCCCCAGGAGAAAAAATGAAGAAGTTGCCCAATTAAACAGAGAAATTAAAAAAAAAAACAACAAACCAGCCTACAAACAGGAACAAAGAAAGCTGTAAATGGAGCTGATCTGACTCTTATTCAAAAGTAGGTTTAATTGAAATAAATTTCAGCCAAGAGGGTATTTTGTACTTTACTGACTCCTGTAACACAAGTTCCTTCTAATTTACGTTGCTATGTATTGAAAGAAAAAGGCAGAAAGAACATGAATGGGATCTGAGCACAGAGATCTGTTAGCATGGTGTGTACAAAAGTGAGATCTTGGTAAATATAGAGAAAAAGTTTTCCAGTTGTTCTGAGAGTTACATTAGTCTTTCAAACCTAGGCAGATAGCCCATATTTGGATAAACAATGCACAGTTAAAATTTAATCAAAGTTACCAAATGCTAGTTTATCAGAATGGAGTGAAGGCACCAGTTTTTTCATTTTAAATTAAAGGGTTTGGGATGCCAAGATAGAAAACCTCATCAGATTTAAGAACTAAAAAGAAATGCTGAAAGACTACCTCGCGCTCAGCAGCAGTAAAAGGATAGATTATTTGTAATGGCTGGTTTATGCAAATAAGGGATCTTTTTAGATGCAAATATTTTAATTAACCTTTTGCACACCAAAAAAGAAAAGTTTTATGGTTTCCTTATAATTAGTCTGCCAACACTGAAGTTGCCTTGAATTTTCCCTTGCAGCAAAATTGTGGTACAAAATGCATTCCAGTACGAGACCGTGGCTTTCTTGTTCAGGTAGGATATCATATCTTTCTTACTTATGAAACACTGTGGAGCACAAACTGACTGTTAATTATTTTTAAGCAGATGTTGTTATTCTCATTTTCATTGTTCTCAGACTATTGAATTTGCTGAGCAGCGGATACCAGTATTGAATGAATACTGTGTAGTTTGTGATGAACCCCATGTGTTCCAGAATGGCCCTATGCTGAGGGTAAGTGGTGTGCTTGTTGGGATAAACAATAAGTTTCATAATGCCTTACCTAGCAATGGACCATACAAACCTGTTACAAAACTACTGAATTATTTCAGATGCTTTTCATCCTAATATCCTTTTAAGATGCAAAAATGTAAAGCAAATTAGCTAGATCTTGCTATAGTTAAAAAAAAAATGTATTGCAGTCAAGGGAGACAGAAATCAGGTTTGTTTAATATAGAAACATAAAAGGGGGCTATATTTCACTGGACGTTACTGTGCTAGTCACAGCCGAATAAGATAAAGTGCATTAAAGTGCTTTCCTAGTCCTCTGGTATTCCTTTAAAAGCTTACCTTACTCCTGCAGCCCCTACCAAGCCATGACCAGGGTATTTGGATACACTGGTGTTAATGCCACAAGGCTGTGAAGTTCTGACCATCTTTTGCTCATGGGCCACAGGAATGAGCCATCCTCCATAATGTGGTAAAAAAGGCAGTAGAAGGAGATGTTCTGTGAAATGTCTGATCTAGAAGTAACCTAGTCCAGGGGCAGTGTTGCAGTTCAACACTCCTAAAGTCTGGCCAGTTAGACAACTCTTCCTTCCTTTCATTCCTGTATAGCTGTGATTCAGGAATTTTGCTTGCTGAACATTGTATCCTCTCATGCATTTGGTGAATGCATACAGTGAAAAAGGGTAGAATTGGTCATGAGAGACATACTCTGCCTGGAGCTACTGGATCAGTGCAGCTTTGTGAAAGAGTGTATTAGAATAAAATTCTCACCATTTAGACTGATCTTTCAGTTTAGAATCATTATTATTTCACCTGTCCAGAATCCTATGGAATCCCAAATAACCTTAAGTATTAAAGCCATGGAAAACTGTGTAATACCAGTGTGTCAATGGTCTCACACCAATTCACACACTTTCTCTGCCAGTTTCTCCACAGTGTGGTGGGCAACTGTTGGCTGAACCCAGGACAGCAACTACAATTAGATGAAGCAGACATCATCTGTGATAGTTCCATGAAACTAAATTCAGAAGGGTTGTTGCTTACACAGTAGAAGAAGTCACTTCAGTGTCATCCCCTGTGACACTCAGTGGCACCACGGTCAGGCATGCTGACTGCAGGCAGGTTATGCAAATAGGCTGCTAATAGGATTTGCAAAAGCATCTACATTTTCAGTTAACGCCATTTTAAGTCATCGTTAAAGCTCTGTACTTTTGAAAATCCTATCAGGTAGTTTTTCCGCTTCTTTGAGCTCGTATCTACCTTTCAAAACCACAGTTTTCTGCCAGATTTATCAGCAACCAAACCCTGATTAGGGGCCTAGAGAAAAGGCATCAGTCCCTTGTTCATCTTTGAATGCAGTGCTGTGCATATTACCTGTGATAGGATGAGATAAGACAAAGTGAGTAATGTTTGGATAGTGACTAACATTTGTATAGTAGAATTATTTAAATTATTGGGTTTCATCTATTATCCATAGGACAAAGCAAACAATAGGATTTATTCTTGTTCACATGATGAACTACTGAAGAAAATAGAATGAAAAGTCATCTGCTGTAATTTAAAAAAAAATGTGAATTCTTCTTGGTTTTCCACCTTAGAGATTAAAATCCCTCAGAATTACTCTTTTCTGTCTTTGGTTTAAAGGGGGTTATTTTAGTTATCTGTTTGAGAATTTGTTAGTGCTTCAGAAGAAAGGAAAGCACAAACATGTTTGCCACTAAACATATTCCCCAGTGCCCTTGCAAGCAGCATGACCTACCAAGCTTTGCAAAAATTAAAGGGTTTCATTATATAACTCAGGGAGAAGAAGATAGTGGGAAGCATGCTCTATGCATGCTTGAACGACTCAGTAAGCCATATAGAACCATTAATGTGTTTGCAGTTCTGTAGAAGGTGAGAAAGGATCTCAGTTTGAATTGAGCATAAGCTTGCCAAAGTGTCTTAAGGAGATTTATGCTTCACTCTCCTGGGAGCTGTGGCAGAAGCAGCCTGAAGTAGGCATCTGTAGGGTTTATATACATGCTTCAGCTGCACACATACATACATACATGTATATACAATGTATATAAAAGGAATAAAGGATGAGCCAACTGAAAGAACACTTTATGTTTAATACTGCTGCAATGGCGGACCTCAGAAATAGAGTACCATAATAAGCAGGATGCAGGGGAGTTTCATTTAAGGCAAGGCCTTTGGTGCTTAATGGATCCAATATGTATTAACCCTAGCCTTCATAAAGAGCTTTAGGGTGCTCATACTTTGGATATGACAGTAGCTTTGCCAGTTTTCATAATGATCACAACCTCACTAAGGTCTGCTTGTATTTTTTAATTGTGTCTAGATCCTGCTTTCTGCAGATGTTTGTATGTCAATGTCATTACTTGAATAGGATCTATGTGTAGCTGGTTGTATCGTAAGAGGTGCTACAGACTAAGTAATAGCTCTGAATGGTTCAACACATTCTTTAAAGAACAGTTCCTCCATATAGATGCACACAGGGTCATGTCTGGGTCTATCTTTAATGATGAGCTTGCTTTCTACCTGTTGGACCTTTTTTTCAACAACAAAGAAGGCATATGAAGTTATAAAAGCATAGCAAAATTATTTCTTGAGAAGTTATTTTAAAATGCATTTAGCCTTGATTTTCTGGTATTTAATGGAGTCTTATGCAATTGCAAAGAAGCCAGTAAGGAATTTGATTCTGCAATCCTCTACTAGGTCAGTCTGACACCTTTCCAGAACTATAATGTAGTTAAATCAGTTGTCTTGAAATGCAGTTTAAATAATTCAACAATTGCCATCACGCAATAACTACTTTGTTGTAATACTGTAAAATCTCTTACCTTGGTGTAGGTTTTTCTTTAATCATTTGGATAATTCAGTTGTCTCATCCTCAGGACAGCTGAAGACACCAAGTAAAACTGAGAGACGAAGTTTTTGCTTCCTGCAGATTTGCTCTACTGGCTGTGTTCTTATCTTAGTTACAAAGTATTTTTAAATCAGTCTCTCTCAGTAAAAGCTTCCTTCTCAAAATTGTGTTTCTTTTTCCTAGATATTTTTTCTGTAGGGTATTCTGATTTTAATATCTATTTCAATTTACTTTGCTTTGTTGAAGTCTTGACATCTTCTTTCCCATAAGAGCAACTCTATTACAAGATGTGTCTTTTTGTATAGCTTAATTTAGACACTAGATCCACATGACAGACGTATCAACATAGATAAGATGTCTATTGCAGAAAAGCTGCATAACATAGCCGCATATGTTTGGCCTTATGCTCTTACAGTGGACACCTGCCCTGCTCCAGAGCCTGTGATACTTATCTAATCATGTAAGTGTTCAAGTGTTCCCTGCTGGTTCAGGAATACTGCTGTAGGCAGGGATCTTTGGATTTTTCAGTCTATCTTGATCATGTATTAAGGATAAATAAAAAGGATACCTTAATGACTTACTAAAGACGAACAAAGACAAAATTCTTAGATTTCTCTTAGGAATTTCTTTACAGTAAAGTATGGATCTTTTGGAAAAAACAATTTTCTTTTGAGCTCCAAAAGTTTCCCTTGGAACTCAGTACAGAAGACCAGAATTACAGTTCCTGTGTGTACTCCAAAATTACGTGTGTAGGTAAAAACACATTAGGTAGATGGGCTACCTTTAAAACACAAACTTAATGTTCTCACAAGGAACTGCAGCTGTATTACTGTGCGGGGGAAGGACAGATGTTATCTGGAATGGAGGTCGAAGTCTTGCAAATGTACTATAATACATTATGAAGCTGCAACACTCTTTATGAAGTTCTGTGGTCCATTGCTTCATTCCATCCCCTTTTTTAAAAAAAGCCCAGTAAAGTAGGCAATGCTTTCCCGTAGTTATTAACACCTTTCCCATATGAGATGAGGATGAATGTACTTTCTCATCATAGCATTTTTCTTTATTATGTATTTCAAGTCCATAGTGGGACTTAATGATTATTTACAGTGCACCCAAAGATATAAAAGCTACATGGGATGTTTAGAGACACACAGGTACATAGAATACTACCAAAACCAGCAAATTCACAAAAATTACTGCATGAATATTTGTAGTCTTTCTGCAAAACACAGGGAAAATTCAGTGAATACATATCTTAAGAGGAAGAAGTATTATTTAATCTCATGCATAACATAGACCATACTATTCATGAAGTTATTCCTAACAGTGATCTGAATCCTACTATTTCAGTCTTCACAGGAGGATTACACAACAGCTTTGATATCATTAGCAAGGATTGGGACTGCAGCCTTTAGATCCAAATAGGTTCCTTATCTCATGTAATGAATCACAGTGCATCCTGCTGCAAGGCGACCTGTGCTGCACAGCTCTCAGGAGCACTGTCATCAGTCTCTTCTGAGGTAGCTCTTTGCTCAGTTTCAAAAACCAGTGGGAAGTACAGGGTCAGACACAGGTTTTGGATGAGGAGAAATGGAGAAGGGAAACCTGGTAAGTGTACTGAAAACAGCAAGACTCTGCTCATTTGAATTGTTTGCCTCGTGTTACTGTCTTCAAATTTCTTCTCAAAAGAGAAGTTGTTTAGATAAATGTGACATGGGCTCTTATTTGTAATTAATTGCTAGATTTTAACTGTTTCAGTAACATATTTTGAAATGTTTTTTCTCTGACATTTTCAGTTGGTGAATCCTTCACATGTATGTTGTTAAAACACCTAAATAGATTATCTTGATTTCTGTCTAACTACCATATTAGACTAAATATTAGATGTAAACTTAGGAAATTTTAATGACTTCCACAAAGCCCTTTCTGAAGTACTGAGATGTTTTTTTATGGGGCATGTGTCTCTAGTGAACAAACCCTGAAACTGGAGCTTGTTTCATCCACTGTCTTTCATTGGCTTTTGAAAATCTCCAAAGATGAAGACTTCACAATGTCCCTGGGCAACCTGTGCCAGTTCTTGATAAAGCTTTAGAGAAAGCTAATTCTAGCTTTCTCTAAAGCTTTAGAGAAAGTTTAG